TCCTCTTACCTAAATTAATCCTCTATCCTCCCCAGTCATCTCTCCCTCTTTCACAGCCCTTGCTTCCAGAGTGACACTCTTTCCTGGGAAAGTGTCTTCCATGGAGACCTGTAGCCTCCTGGATCCTTTGCTGAGGAGTATTTCCCAACATACACTTTCCCTCATATAAGAGATTTTCTGGAGGACAGGAGGCTGCTGAAACTCACACAGAAGCCAGGAAGGAGCAAAATTTTGTGCTATTACCAAAGCAGAGAAAATGAAGTACCCAAGTACTGATACAAAGGTATATCCATATGTGTGATATCAAAAGGTTTTGCCTATGTTTTCTTCACCATTAATTAATGGTAAATAGGTAAAGTCAAAGTGAGGTTCTGGGGTCTTTGGTCCACAATTGCTTTACTTTTCTCTCATTCTTTGTTTCTAGGAGGTCTAGGAGCTAGAAGGATTCATAGGAAGTCTAGTTTTAACTATTTACTGCATTTTTAAGGAAGAGAGGTAACAGTGGTCTCAAAATGTACATTTACACTATAAAGGCATGAGGAATAGTTAGGATAGGATTCCTCCTCAAGGGTGTAAGTTAAGTTCAGAGCATTTGAAATCATAGCGAGTAGTAAGTCTACATGGATATGTGGGTAATTCCTGCAGCTGCAAGATATACCCCTGGACAATATGATCTGATTCAGGAGAGAAAATAAATGCCAGTGGAAAGGAAAGCTAGTGTCGAGTACAGGAACAGGTTGGCTTTCCAAAGAAATTAGACCAAAGTAAAGAATATGAACACGTTAGATACTTCAGCGGGGGAAAATTTGAATTAGTTTCCTAGAGTGACCTGCAGATGCCCCAGACTGCCTTCAGAAGAGAGCAGAGAGATGACCATGAGGGGTAAACAGTACATGCTCTTGCAGAGGGGGAAAGGCAGAGATAGGAAGCTAGACAGTAACAGAAGAGACTATTCCTCCAAAGAGAAAGCTCTCTCTTTTGAAGTTTGTCTGCATTTTGTTCAAAGTATTACACAAGAAACGCTTTTCACAGCTGCATAAAAAAAAAAAAATGCTACTTGTAGCACACATTCAAAAATCTGACACATTAGTCCTTTTGATCTGTAGAAATGTGAAGAAGTTCAGGATGATCCTTTCTGAGGTCACAGAGCACTGAAGGAAACTTTCGTACTCAGAAAAACCAGAAATTACATTTCTGTCTCCTTAACTATCTTGTTAGGCTGTGCCTGGGTCAATATTTACCTAGATCAATGTTTACTAAGCTGGGGCAAATATTTACTCACATTTTTAGTAGAGAAACTCCACTGCTATGGTAAAGAACTGTTTACTACAGTTGATTGGAAGAAATTATTATGCCCAATGTAGAAAAGAAGAGACAGGCAACAGTATCTAGAGAATGTGGAGAGTGCCATGTTAGGGAGCTGGTAAAGCCTGGGTATGAGATACTGAGGATGTGGAGAGGGCCCCTGAGGGGCAGCCAAGCAGGGGATCTGGTTTCATCCCTTCCTGACAGAACTGGCACTTACCTAGCTTGTTCACAAGGACCTTGAGGCAGACTTGCCTGCCCTTCTTCACCACAACAATCACAACAATTAGTTAACAAGTCTTTGATCATCAGAGCTGGGATCTACTAAAAGGCAGCCCAAGAAAAGTGTCTTTTTCTGTAGTGAAAACTTAGAATGAGAAAGAATGAGAAAGAACCTGAATCTCTGGGACACCAGATCCTGTCCTCCTGTAGTTTTATTCCAGTAGCTCTCTGCACTGAAATAAATGCTACTCTTTTTTTTTTTTTTTTTTTTTTTTCCCAGACTCCTTAATAAAAGCCCTTCTTTCCACTTCCAGGGACAGATTGTGTGAGTTCTTCTGAGGAGCCTGAAACCTGTTCTGGCAGCACTGGATGCCTGTTGGATGTGCCTCTCTCCCAGCCCAGCCCCATGCTCCAGGAGCAATTTCCCCAGGGTATGTTTGCTCCTTACAGGGCAGTGTTCATCTCTTTCCTGAAAAGACTTCCACTGGACCCAGGTGGAGCAGTCACCAGCAAGTAGGCTTGCTGCCTTCTTTCCCACCACTTCCCTTTGAAAGACCCACAAAGTAATCTAAGAGCAAATCAAGCAGATGCTATCCATCAAAATTTAATAAAAAGATTGTTATATAAATAACATTTACATGTCGTTGCCTGTGACTTTCTGGGAATCAGTATTCGGAGCAGCATGTAGCCCTAAAAGTTTGTTAAATTGGATGAATAAAATCACATAGAAACCAAGACTGTTCTAATAATGATTTTTGTACTGACTAAGCAGTAGTCAAAGTAGGTCAGACTGGGAAGACAGCTTACTGATGCTAGGCCCTCTGCATGGTCATGGGCCATAAAATTACATAATGACAATTTGTATCAGAAAGGATGGCATATTCCCATAAAGGCACACAAATATTGTATATCCAGATAAGCACAATGAAGCTGGTAAGGGGTCTAGAGAGTTAGTCCTGTGAGGAGCAGCTGAGGGAGCTGGGGGTGTTTAGCCTGGAGAAAAGGAGGCTCGGGGGAGACCTGAACACTAGCTACAAGTACCTGAAAGGAGGTGGCAGCAAGGTGGGAGCTGGCCTCTTTTCCCAAGCAACTAGTGACAGGAGAATACATAGCCTCAAGCTGCATTGAGGGAGGTTAAGGTTGGACAACAGGAGGATTTTCTTTATAGAAAGGGTTTTTAAGCATTGGGACAGATTGCCAAAGGAGGTGGTGGAGTCACCATCCCTGGAGGTGTTCAAGAACAGACTGGACGTGGCACTTAATGCGATGGTCTAATTGATAAGGTGGTGATCAATCAGAAGTTGGACTCAATTGTTTTTGAGGTCTTCTCCAACCTAAACAATTCTGTGATTCTTTAACTTAAAACAGCTAATAGGGCACTGCACCAATATTCAATCTTCTAAGTCTTCTCCCACTCAGTTGCTCCATCCTCTACATACTCCACTTTCCATTTCAGGAGGGTTTGAACACCTAATACCACTTCTACCTCTGGGTATCTGCAGTATAGTAGTATAGTTGTTTTCATAATTCCTAAAGGAAGCAACATCTTATCCCCTCTAAGCTTCTTGGAATGGACCCCCAGTCCACCCAGCAGGCACCCTGTGCTCCACTTTGATCTTCACATTTTGGTTTGACTCTCCCTAAAGCCTAAGACAAACAGGAGAGATGTCTGTCCAACCCTCCTTTGCCTCCAAAGAAATGAGTAAGTTATTTAAATTACAACACCTTTCAACCCTGTAACAGATATCAGAACAAATGTATTAAATTTTGCTGGGAAAGGATATGAATGGGTTTTGTGAAGCAAACTGACAAGGAGTTTACCCTGACCTGTTCCTCATCAAAATCTTGCTTTGAAATGTTTTTAAACACCAGATGCAGCTGGTGACCAAGGTTCAAATAACTGACATTACTAAGATGCAGACAAGATTTCATCAAGCCTCATGGCAACACTTCTGGACAAAGATAAGGCTTTGTTGTAAGCATGAAAGCTTGGAACACCACTAATCATATGTAGAAAAATGTCACAACAAAACCCATTAGCAGTCTTGAATCCAGTGAAGAGCAGGGAAAAGAAGTTAGCTTAAGGATTAGGGTTGAATAAATGATTCTTAACTTTTAGAGTGAGCTGCGTAAAGAAGCTGTAATGTAAAGTGTCCAATTACACTTTTGTTCTACCCAGACCAAAACTAACAGTCAATTATACAACCATGTTTTCTTCCGTCAAAGGAGAACAATTAAAAGAGTCCCTGTAAGGACTCTTGAACTTAAATGAAGAGGACAGCTAAAATTTCAAGAGTCTATTGTGTTTCTAAAAATTTTTACTTCTTTTAAACATCATTTCACATTTTACAGGCTCTAATTTCAGATTTGCACCTGGCCTTAGCCTAGGGGCAGAAATAAAAGGATACAAGTCAAAACACAGAGACACAAGCCTTCAGCATTTAGATAGGACAGCTAACAGCACAGGGAAGCTACACGTGTTCACAATGTGTTTGGATTGCTAAATAAATAGTAATTATTGGATTTACTCTCCTTTCAGTTTCCTAGACTTTTAAAATTGTACAGGAATAAAGAAACTGCATTTTACCTTCCACTTTTGCATAAAACCAGAAATTACTAAAATAAAATATAAATCTGAACAATGAATCAGATACATTTTTCCTTTCATGCTTTAAAAAAAAAAAAGCTCCTATGCCTCTTAAAACCCCCAAATATCAACCAAAACAACCCCACTCAAAACCATCCCCCCCCCAAAAACAAAACAAAACAAAACAAAACAAACAACCAACAAAAAAACTCCATCCAAACAGTTAAAGATAATTTCCTCTCTGCTTTGCTGTCCTGGTGAGAAGGCAGTCAAGAAAAAAAAAAAAAAAAGGCAGCAAAGTTTATATAAAGCAGTTCTAACCACAAATGTTAGAATCGTTTTACTAATGAAAACATGATTTTCATATATCTCAAAAACATGGTGTAGTTTGAAAAAAATACTTACAAACTCTATTATTAGACAAGATAATAGTGGATTAAACTATATACTACTTGGTTTGACAGCATAAGCAAAGGAGTGTTGATATCTGTTTAAGTAGTTTTACTTAAACCTAACTGTTTTTTTCCCCTGATATTAATCTCCACTTTGCCTAAATGTAAGATTAATTTTATATAATTTCCTTGACTTAAAAATACTATAAACAAGAGGAACAGCCAAACCTTTCTTTCATTTATGAGTCATAAAAACCCCCATAGTTAAACCCAAGAATTTCCTACATATATGTTGTAGGACATAACTAAAAAAAGTAAGATGAATTACAGCTAAGAATCTATCTTATAATGTACAAGTAGTTTGGGACTGTAAACACTTGAGAGAGAAATAAAAGGAATGAGAAAGAAAAAGAAGGAAAAGAAAGCAAAAGAGCTGATAAAGTTTCTGGCTACAATACAGGAGACATATCATTACCATATGATCTAATGTGGGTGTCAGCCTGGATTGTGTTCATTGAGAGAAACCTTATTTTTTAACTGTGCTATGGAATAGAAGCAGGAGGGTTTTCCACCAAGTGACAGTCACTGAGCTGAATTTACCCCCTCCTCCTTTCCACACCTGCAAAGCTTTTTGCCTGGGTCGAATATTTAGTTTAATTACATCTCAGCTTTGAGAGCTCCTGTTGCAAAATCCCTGGATTAAAAGGTATGGTTTTTAGTAATTCTCCTGAACTATGCTGCACTAATAAAACTTCAGGCAAGTCTACGGCAAGAACTACTTGAATCTTAAGATAAGCAAGCTAAAAATCCTACTAAATGTTTAGCAATGTTATGTTTTCTATCCAGCACTTTTGTCTCTTGAAAACACAAGAATGCATTCTCAAGGACCGTGCAGATTTCATAGTGTTTATTTGACTATTCTGTCTCTTGTTTGACAAGAGCCCTTTCTTTTTCTTTACTGTAAACTTTTGCAGCAGTATATTCTCTCTTTGCAATCCAGTGTTTAGAATCGGTGATGTAGAGAGTGTAAAAAATGCGTATGTGCTTACAGTTCTGTTTTAAACTGCACTCTGTGATTTCTTTTTCATTCGGGTTTCTTCATATATATTCCAGACATTGATGAATATAATTTCAATTTCAGAGAAAGAAAATATGTAGTAGTTAGTTAAACGGGCTCATTGTATGCCTTTGTAATGTTAGAAAGTGCTATGTTACAGGGTACAAACAAGGGAAACACATTTAAAGAAGGTTCTTATGAATGAAAGAGTAGGAAAAAAAATTCCTAGAGTTGAAACTCCTGTTAACAGAGTTTTAATCTCTTTAAAAGTTCCAACTGCTATGTTTCCACATCTAGACTTTATTGCATAAAATGGGTAAAACATAAAACTGAGGGGAGTTTTTTGAAAATGCACATATTGTTTAACTTGTCTTTTGTGGAATTTTGAGAGATTTCTGACAATAGGGGAACTAATATTTAAACCTTAATATTAAGGTAAACTGACAAGAAGACCACCAATACAGTGGTGACGTGAACTGATGAAGCATACTTCCAGGGGTATTTTAAACTGAAATGTGGCCAAGCCTATGGTATAGTTTCCTCTGTTTGTGGAAAAGTTTTCCTCATTGTAAACAGATAACTAAAGCAAATTTAAACAGTTACGTCCTGCAGACATAAATATTGTGTCACAGAACTTTAAGAATTTAGATTTTTTTGCCCTCTTTATTTTTTTTTTTGTGTAAGTGAAGTGTAAACATTTCTTGAAAGCATTTCTTGAAAGTACAGTTTTGTATATATATCTTTTTCTTTGTGTTCACTTACAGATGCAAACAATAGGAACAGATCCTGTCTGCAGGACGAATATGTATTTGACTAAAGATATGCAGACCTATTTCTTTTTCTATATCCTGATTAATATGTAGCTTGTGTCTGCTATTTTTTCTGCTGTGTCCTCAGATTATATACTTAATATCCTTTGTTGTCCTACAGTTTTACTTTATAGCTAACTTTTTCTGATATTATTGCAGTTTTTAAAAAACAGGGACCAAAGGAAAGGGCCTACTACAGGGTTTAACTGAGACATATGAAATCATCAATATTAATGTGAATAAGAAGCAAAGTGTGAAGACACTTCCAAAGTGCCTTTGCATTTTTTTGGGCTTTTTTGAGTGGTAGCAATTTAGGTTCAGGATAAGATCCTGATTGTGCATTCTTAGGATGAATGGATCACTTCAGCAGTGATCCTTAGAGGGAATACAAGAAGTTTTAAATATTTAAAAATAATATAGAATCATATTAATATGTAAAAGAAAAATGCTGAAGAAGGTTTTTAAAAAATACTGACTGCCACTGGCATTCCAGGATTAGCATGTAGCATTCCAAAAGTTTATTGATGTTAATGTACATTCTGAAAAATAATTTCTACGTGGGTAATGTTTTACTGGTTATTTTCACAAGGCAGCTTATTATGATGAATGGTGATGATTTAACAAATTTGTTTTCTCCTTTCAGACTACTAATAAACTGCACTGATATTTTGCAATAATTTTTAGATAATAATTATTATTTCAAAAATCTCATTTTAGATTAAATCGTGAGAACAACTCACCATTATGCATTAACAGCCCTTTGCTCAGACAGCCTGACTTGTCCACATGTACTCTGCCTGCACTGTGGAGGTGTTGTTGGGGAAGGGACACAGACCCAGGGTCAGTGGGGGGCCAGGACATAGGAAGCACAGGGGGATGGTCCACATGAGAACACAGCCTGCCCCATGTCAGCTACATGTCACGAGTTTACACAGCACTGAGCTTGGATGACAGGACATGCTAAAAACTCTGACTCTCTAGTTAATGACGGGGTCTCTGAAACCCCTCAGTGCATGCACTAAGTAAGATGTCTGTTCCAGGAATAGAAATACTCTCATGCCCAACCAGGAAAACAACTATGTCTCTTTAAGAGGCAGCATAAATAGTGGTTTACTCCATGGGATGTTACTTGGGAGTCTTTGTCTTCCTATCAGGTACATCATAGAAATGTAGGCTATAATTTTACACTACTAGCCTCCCTTATAATGTAACCTTATCCTCTCAAGAAACATACCTAAAGGTTTCTGCACACTACAGAATATAAATTGTATCTAATTCCAGTCCTATGGGGTTTTATTTATTTATTTATTTAGTGCTTTTTTAATTGGTTTTACACTTCTGCCTCTCCCACAGCTTTTTTATCTTTCCACCAATTTAAAATGCTCTGCCACGCCCGTAACTGTCAGATTATTTCTGCTAGAAAAAGAAGTAACCCCAGCTAGCACCCAGACGGGGCATGTCAAAAGACATTGACTTGAAGAAGCAAGTGGACATTTTTTACTGCAAAGAGCAACATCTGTATTCAGGACTATCTCATCCATTTTAAGAAAAGGCTCCTATATAATGATAAGTTAGCCTTTCTGTCTCTTGGCAGTTGGAAGGCAAATTTCTTAATTTTACTTTTTTATTCATTCTTTTAGACCAATGAAGGTTTGTAAAGTATAAGCCTCTTTATATAAAATACACAGTAAAAAGAAAATCATTTTCAGAAAATTAGCTGATCTATACAGCCTTGATACAAAACCTGCAAACAATTTTGTAATTTTGCCTTAGTGCAAAACCACACAGGTAGCACAATGTACAGTATGTTGTAGTGCATTTGGGCCTAGGTCCTGAGATCAAGTATGAGCAGTTTTCCTTGCTAATATCTATGGCAAGGCATACTTGTGTAATGTTGCTTCTGAGCATGAAAGTCTGCAGAATTAAACCCTGAAGTCCAATTAGAAAGCATGCACACAACACTACAAGAATCAATTTGAATGCTTATGCAGTACAAAGCAGAGGATTTTCAGGGTGCATGTCAAAAATTTGGAAAGCAAGCCAAGGATATTTGATATAACAAAACATTATATTACATTTATTATGCTGTTTAAACTGGGAAACAAGTACAGTGCATTTAAACAGCTAAAGATCTTCCCCTCTCCCTCCACCCCATCACTAGATCCTACTCTTTCTCAGTCAGTTTTACTAGGCTATAATTTAAAACACACACCAAGCTGGCACTTAAAAAAAAAATATTTCTCAAGACACGAAATACTGAATTACAGTGAGTTTGGGAACCTCAGGTTTGTCCCTAGGGGACAAACTCATTGCTATGAAATAAATGCTAATGAAATCAAATAGACTGTTATGTTGGCTGAAAACAGGCACATGGAAAATGTGTCTTATTGCTTTGACTGTTTTGCATAACAAAGTTGACAGTGCTGCCTGTTCTTAATAAATATTACTCTAAATATGCAAACAGATGTGTTTACAGTTGCCTTCAAACTGCTCTGTGAATAAAAAAAAAAAAAAAAAGCCCATTGACAAGCGGTTACCAGAGTCCTATCACATAACTGTCCTATTTTTACAATTCAGTTTTCTTTTATTGAAAGGAACAGTTATGCAATTGGTGGATGCGCTGGACCTCCTTCAGCAGGAACTCTGCAGCTATGGGAAACTGCTTCTTTTGTTGTTAATCTGCTGCTTTGGATCCTAGGTTCTTCTGGGAGTCGATGAACTAAGCCATGAAGAGGCTGGCTCTCCTCTTCGTCCTGCTGCTGCCAGCATGCTTGGCCAAGCCGTTCCACCAGCAGGGCCTCTTTGACTTTATGCTGGAAGATGAAGGGTCAGCCGACATGCCTCCAACAGATGATCCCGTCATATCTGGATTTGGACCAGTGTGCCCCTTCCGTTGCCAGTGCCATCTTCGTGTGGTGCAATGCTCTGACCTAGGTAAGCCAAAGAGTATCTTCACAGGTTATGTACTTACTTTCTAGTCACAGGGTTTGCAGCTGAGATGATGAGGCTGCTATGGACTGCCACTCTGTAACTGTTTGGTTTTTTTTCAAAGAACTATGTTACAGGTACAGTTAACTAGAATTTACTATACAAAGTAGGCCATAAAACTCTGACAAGATGGACATTTGTTGTGATCATGAAGAATGTTTAATTTTTAAAATTTTTTTTTGTATATAAATTTCATTTGTTCTTTGAAAGACCACATATTTCACTTGCAGAGAAAGTAACTTTTCAAAGCTGTTCCTTCAAATGCATATTAAATAAATTTAGTGAGGTCAGATGTGGGGATAGAAGCACTTTAAAAGATTCTAAATTGCATGGTCCAAGCTCCAACACCCTTAATCATTCTGTCTAGTACCTCAACATAAAAATCACCCCATTTCCATTGGAATACATGAGCGTGAAATAACTAACTCTGAATCATACATCCTGCAACCAGCTCTTTGGAGGAAAGAGCTTGGAAACCCTCCAAAACAATGAACACATTTTGGAGTTCTTTATTAAATATCTTTATTAGACATTATACAAGCTGAAACCATGCGAACCTTTCTCCCTCATCTGCAAGGACTTGTCTGCACAGTCAGAGAAGCAGGATGTGAAGACATGTCTGCCATCACTGTATTTGACTTTTCCATGCAGAAGTCTCAAGTAATGAAACTGACTTTAGCAAGACTGAATTTGGTTTAAACCAGTATTACTCAGACTGAGTCAGTGTGCAGTGCAGAAAATCAATTAAAGTTGGTTTTGCTCACAAGGAAATTGGAGAATTTATTCAGCGGACAGACAAATAGCTTCTCATGATTTTGAAGAGGCTGTTTGGGTTTTTTTAAGTCTTCCTTCAGCTCTTTAAATGTATAGCTGGGTGTTTCTATTTTCCTATGTTGTAGCACTGGCTTTGATGATTACTGTAAATCGTGGCACAAATCCTCCAATTAGGAGCTGTGTCTCATTGTGGTGGGTGTTGTGTAATTACAGGAAAGAGGGGGAACTTTAGTTACACTCCTAGAAACTTCTGTGACTTTATTAAAGCAAGCCACATCATTACGCAACAGATATGTTTGGCAAAGGCCCAGTGAACAATGCAAGCCAAGTTGCACAAATGAGTGCAAGCTAACCTAGCCATGCATTCATAAAGCTTTCACAGCACTGTCCCTGTTGAAAGATATTTTCTTTTTTTACCATTTATATGCCAGAGAGAAGCAAACATGGAGTGGATAGTGGGGAGGAGATTACCCCACATCTTGAAAGTCTTAGGTTTTATTATTGTTACACTTGGTAATGCTGTTGGAATTTCGAGTTGTTTTGGGAACTTGTTCCTAGTCTGCTTCGATTCTGCAAAACATAAGAAGCTTTCACTTGGTAAAAGAGTAGGAATATTCTCATAGAGACCCTTTGCTGCTGTACTTGCTCCCATGGTCATTCAGTTCTCCTTCACACACACATGATTTAAAAAGGGTTGCACTACAGTCCACTGCATACAGATAATTCTGAGTTAATAGAGTCCCATATTGACCAGGAGACTCAAAATACCACAGTTAGGGCCCCAGATCTGTGTTTCCCAGATAATTTCAAGTGGGGTGAAAAAAAAAAAAAAAGATATATTTTGAGCTTGGTTTAAACCCACGTGCTGCATAATGTCAAATGAAAAAATTGTGCTTTTGAAGCAGCTGGGCTGATAACATTCAGGCTTTGAACATGAAGGATAAGAGATCTTCCTAGGCTCAAAATATGCAGCCATGAAAAATAGATAAATATGTTTCCCCGGCAGAACTCAAAGAAATAATAACTATTCAGTGTCAACCTTGGCATTAGGTTTAACCCATCCTTGTAGCACATGGCTACCACAGCCCCTGCTGGGTCGCAGCCCAAGTGGGAGGCTCCTCAGAACACAGGTCTGATGGCCACCCTGCAACAGGGACAGGACAGCTGTGTATGCCGCCAGCTCACAGGCAAACCTGCCTCATGGTCTTCTCTCTTCTGGTCTTGAATCCACTTCTGTGTGTCTCAGACCCTGACAAAATCATATTTACCTGCTGACTTGAGGAAAGCCAGTTGCTGGCCCTGAGTGGTCACACTTTTGTTGCAAACTGTGGATGTGACCTAGCGTGCTCCTGAGTGGTGAGATGAAGGGTGCTTGAGGTGTAGCCATTGGGGGGCAATTTTCATGCAGGAGCCACGAAACCAGCAGTGACAGTTCCAAACCTTTATTAGCCACTGCTCCTGGCCTGACTCTCCCTTCAGCTCTGGGCACTTCTGGCCCAACCAAATTGGCTACCTTCCTTCCCCTAAATTATCAAATTTGGTTGACTAGTCCCACGAGTACTAATTGAAGAAAAACTGCAGGCTATAACAAGACTCTTCCTAGGGACATATTAAGACCTTACTAAATAAAGTCCCACAAATTAAAGTCGAAATCTGCATCAGAATACTTTCTTCTATTTACTCTCTGGCATGGGAGGACTCTTTGCAGCCATGAGCCCGTGGGTGCAGAAGGCATGTCAGAGCAAGCCATCTGGAGGACCCTAATGTGGGCAACATATGGGGAGGACTCCTCTTCCTCAGCCTCTTTCTTTTTGTACTCAAAGGGGCATTTGCTGTTGATAAACTCTTGCTTGCTTCATTAGGAAAAAACAACTATCTGACACAAGGTTTTGCTTCATTAGGAAAAAACAACTATCTGACACAAGGTTATGTGAATAAACCACAGAAGTACTATTGGATCCAGAGTCCAGAGATCAGGTTTGCCCTTTTTCTCATGAGCACTGGGTGGGAATAATAAAAAAATAAAATCCAAGTTCAATAAAAACAGTGAAAAAAAAATGCCCAGTGGTCCAATTACACTCTTGTCAGCTAAATTTTTGCATTCTCTACTTTTAAGCTTCAGTCACATCTTCCGAAGCACACACCTATAAATTAATTTATTTTGTCTCCAAGCCAAGAGCTGAGTTGGCAGGAAGAACTCTGCCTTCTCACATCCTGAAGAAGAATTCTGTCTGAACTGTGGTTACTGATGGATCAAGAGCAGAGCCTCATGTGCCTACCTTTCATGAGGTGTATTATCGTTGTTAACAGGCTCAAGGATCTCATCAAGGAAGACCGTTGTGGTATCTTTATAAAAATGCTGCCTTTTCTAAATCTGATTCCTGTTGCTAAAAGGGAGCCACAGGTTGACTTTTTAATCACAACTCAAAATGAGGCATTACTAGTCTGTAGCGAGACTTTCCGCAGAAATCACAAAAATATTCCTTATTAGTGCACACTACAGGTGGGGAGTAGCTGATACAGCTGGTCAGAGCTCACTGTTCCTGTTCTAAGGTAATAAGTAGAGCAAAGATGTGAAGTTGGCCAGGAAAACATGCTTCATAAAAAAATCTAGCAAGGATTAATAGTTTCATTTCAAGTCTCATCCTCCCAAAGAGAGTCTCAAGTAAAGTTCATCCCAGAGTGCCCTGGTAGGCAGGAGGATGCATATGTGATTACTCAGCCCTGCAGCAGATGCAGGATGCATCGTGAGCACATTCAGGGGTGGTGGTCGGAGCTTTATTTCACCTTCAGATAAGTCTGGCAGCCCCTTCCTAAGCAAGCAGTGTTTCTGCACAGGCAGTGAGATTGCCTTGGAGACTTTACAGGATGTAAGGGTTTCTCTCCACCCCTCTTGCTGTGAGCATCCATGGAGGAATTGTGGTCTCTGCGAGTGTGCAAGAGATAGATGTCAATAATCAAAGTTCAAGCAGCAATACAACTAAAACTGGAATTTTACTCATAGCTCAGAAATGTGGTGTTTTTCCAGCTGTAAAGAAGAGACCTAAGCATGGGTGTTTGAATAGCACTTTGAGATCAGTAAGTGAAAAGCTCACAGATATGTATAGCATTATCCCAAGGATTGCTAACATGAGGCAGTTTATCTGAATACATACTATGTCTCAATATATTAACTGATGGCTCTTCATACCCAAACCATAGTAACATGACAATTAATTTGTTGACTAAAGATTATTTATCACATTGTATAAAATCTTCCAGAAATATCTGAACATGTGTTTTCTGATCACTACTCCATGTGAGAACCTCACCTCTCATTTTAAAGTAAATTATCTTCTTTGTTATATACCTTGATTTGAACTACTTGACATAAAATCTTTTTAAAGAAACATATTACATACCTCATTGGTTAACCCTGATGTTTATTCAGTTGGTTAGAGTGGAGTGAGAATAGTGCCAAGGTGATGGGTTCAATCACCACGTGGGCCATTCACTGAAGAATCGGACTTGATCCTTGTGGCTCCCTTCCAGCTCAGAATATTCTGTGATTCTGTGGTGATCAGTCATTTTATGAGTTCAGCAAAACAGATAGACTTACTTTTCATTCTATACTTAGTATTAGAATCTCTGTCATTGTTTGAAAGTTTACCAGCCTTTCAAAAGAAGAATCTTTGAAGCTAAATGTTTGGTTCAAAATCTTCCATGTTTCTAAACATGCACTAAGAGAAAGAATGGATCCTTAAATGCTCAGAGAAATGTAATTTCTAAATAAAAAGGTTTTAATTAATTTACATTGCAATTGATGAGCCTTTAGGACAAGTTCTTACATATTTTATGCTTTTTTTTTTTCTTCTAACAGTAAGGATTAGAGACTTACTCCTTTTATGTTTATTAGAAGCTGAGAATCTCATGAAATCTGCTGGCTTCATTAAACTAGTTCGTTTAACAAAATTATTACTATTAAAAATGGAACCAGGAATTCTGTGAACCTATACTGTCACTTATACTGAGAACAGCCTCTACATCACATACTGAGAATAGTCTCTACATCATTACTCTGGCCTTAAAACTGAAGACTAAATACCTTTTTGGACAACATTCTTCAGCTGAACATAACTTAGACTGTCATCAAGCACAATTCATTGGGCTTTCCACATGCTGACTGGGTGAAT